AGACACTAATTCCCAGAGGAGAAGAAAGAAGAAAGTATCATTCATTTCTCTCTCTCGTTATCCTTGCTACTATCTCTGAACTTCCAGGAGTTGCAAACAAACAAGTTTCTGCTTCTGTGCAAAACTTGTCACTTTATTCAGAACCTTTTCCATTTTCTGTTGGCATCGAGTAACAAATGTTGCAGAGATTTTATTTTAATAAAATAAAGGAGGACCTTAACTTCCTACTGCAACATGATTTAGCATTTAGAAAGTTCCAGGTTGGATTGATTTGTTCAGAATGGAAAGGCAAATAAGTTATGTCCTTTTCTCTTCCAAACAGTAGCTGTATTTTTTTTTAAACCTTTTCAGAAAATAGTTATATAAACCAAATCACAAAGTCAGTGGCAGGAAATTTGTAGCCACTCAGATATTGCTAAACTAAATGTCTAGCAGCTACCAACAGCATGATCACTAGGGACGGGTTTAGAAACCAAGTTCCTCAGTTCTTATAGGCCTTTCTTCACATATAGTTGTTCTTATATAGCATTTGTCATTTTAATTTCCTTTTTGTTTAAACTGGGGTGATCAGACAACTTTAAACTATTCCAGGCAGCTATATTAATTTCTTTCTTCATCCTAGGTCTCTCAGAAGCTCTCAGAAAACCCTAATAATGAAATTACTCTCCCATGCGCTGGGAAAGTCACACACTATTGAAAGAATAGGAGAATCACAGGACATTTTTTTTCATTTTTGTTATGCTTTTAATGGAACACCCAAGAAACACATAAGGCATATGGTAACAGTAGGCAGACTAGAAATTTCATGTCTGAATCTGTAAACAGCATCAGCACATTTGCTTTGTTGATACACACGTACACGCAGGCACACACGCAGGCGCAAGCAGAAGAGGACTTCTTTTCAAACACCATAAAGACTTGAAAAAGCATCTTGAACCATAAAGACACAAAAGCTGTTTGTGGACCAACCAAAGCAGAGGGGTTGGACAGGTGCTGTCACCAGGTGTGAAGGGACTGAGCAGCCTGCCCTCACTGCCAACAGCCTTTCATTATCAGTTATCTCCCTAGCATGGGGGAATCTATTTGGCAAGAGTGGTGATTCCACAGCTGGCTGTGCAGGGCTAGGATATCCACTGCTGGTCATTCAAGCCTACATCACACTAAACAATCATGCAAATAAAATAGGCCTGCCTTGACAAAAGGAGAGCTTTTTCCTGCCTCTGAAAAACCCACAATTATCTTGGATTTAGCCTTACATTACTAACATCTCTCCCAGTGGTAATTAAATATTCTTTTTGGGATTTGGTGACCCAAGCCTAGCAAAATGCCAAATGCCACTTTGAAAACAAAGGGAAAAGCTAATTGATGATAATGGAGAGAAAATATTTTAAATGTTTTTATTTCAGAGACTTAAAACTAAAAAAGGGGAAACAAATTTTAAAGCATTTGTTTACTTCTGAACTCAATATTCTGAAATGCTTAAATCTGAAGCACAGTTGAACTCAGTCACCCTGATAATCAAAGACAAAGAATGGGTCTACAAAAGGAGTGTAAAGCTTTTTATTTTACATTCTGGGTATTTTACTCTCTGTGACCCAAAGGTGCTTTTCCCCAAAAAGTAACTGATTTTCTGGGTTTCTAGGATGAGAAGTGAAACATTTTCAAAGAAAAAAACCCAAGAAAGTCCAGTTGTGTTTTGGGGAAAAACCACTTTTGGGATAACCATGACCTGGATGACTGAAAATCTCCATAGACATCTCTGAGTGACTTTCCATCCTCCACCACCACCACATACTATGCTATCTATAATTGATAACATTTTAAAAATTAGAGAGAGATTTCATTCATTCAAGAAATATTTTTAAATCTCTCTAAAGACAGCTCTGATGTTAACTTTGGCACATTGCAAATCATTTCCCTGAGGGAGCTTTGCCTCTTTCATATTTTTTTATTTGAGAAGGTCCCTAAATAATATGAGCTGGTATTAATTGCTAGATCAAGTTGTGGGAGCTGTTGTGTAAAAGGGCTGCTGTTAGTTCCTACCCACTTCAGCCCTAAGAAACAGGCTTTTTAAAATATACTCTTGAGGCCTTTAATAATGTTCAGGCTACGTGTTGCTCACTGAGCAGGAAATATGGCACTTTTTTTTTCAATTAAACTGCTCTATCAGCCCTATACCCATGCAATCTAGGCAGCATCATTTTGGAGTTTTATGCTAAAATCTTGAACAATCTTGAACTCTGCAAGAACATGTATCAATAAAGGTTTCTTGTGATAAATGTTATATTTTGTTTTATGGACAACATTTATCACAATAGAAAATATCCTATTTCTCCTCTCACCCCACCCCACACATTTTTAACTTTGAAGTAAGCACATTGTTTTAACTAGTTAAGAGGAGTGATTTTAATTTTAAAGTGGGGGAGAGTTGATCAAAAGGCTTTATTTTTACAAATGGCCCATAAAATCATTGTCTGAAATACATACATGCGTGCACTTCACACAGACACACAAAATCAAGCTGTAAAATAAGAAAGATGATAAAAAGTTCAAGATTACAGTATTAATTAGCAAGGCAACAAAGAGTACAGTTATAGTGCTTTAAAATTTGATGTTTTCTGTATAAAAGAACTACAACTGAGTAGTAGTAAGACAAATCCACTTTAGCACAAAGATAAAGATCGCTTCTGTTCAGGAAGAACATTTAAAAACTGTCAGATTCCAGCATGAGAGAGCAAGGTTGCAGGAAGGGAACAGGACATCTCTTGCTGCTGCTTTAGGTTAAAAACAGTTTTCCCTTTGTGGTGTCTTTGGAAATACATGAAAAGCTATACTTGGCCCATGTTTTCCCAAAGGCCTACAGGAAAGAGTTGGTTCTCTCTCAATCAATGGGAAGTTCCACAAATTATACTATTAACAGAATTCAGATTCTCCATATTTATCATGTGACAGAGGTTTATTAAGCCATACATCTACTCAATTTAAAAATAGCTTCCAGCCAATAAGGTTCAGAAGTAGTGGTCAGGAGACTTAAACCACACTTTCACAGTATTATGCAAAAATTGTCTGATGGCTCTCATAAGGAAGAATGAACGTATCTAGGAGAATTCATTGTATCTGTTAATAGCATCAAAATTTATGCATTTCTATAACAATTCATCCTATTATGTAAGTGTCCTCATTGATTAAGGAACAGAAGCCATAGGTACATTTCAAACTGTTTCCTTGGGATGGGGCTTTCTTTTTTAACAAGTCAACATTGGCAAAGGCTTCTTGAATTAGACCTTACTCACTGTTTGGAACAAGGCACAATAAATTGGGAATAACAATGCAGCATATAAGTTCTTTTAAAGGCAAGGCTATTCCTTGCAGTTTTACAACGATGAGGTTAGAAATGTTTTGGAATGCCATCCCAAGTAAGGCACCAGGCAGCAGCAAGAAGGCAGACATGAGGGAAAAAACCCCAACAATTAAACCCATGAAGTTTTACAATAGATTCTATCCCTATCCCACCCTTTCCCCCATTATTTCGTAAAAGCTTGGGAGACCACAGCTGATCATGCAATACTTTTTCCCCCGTTGTGCTTAAAATAACAGAAAATTGGGAACTCATTTTTTCTATTGATCATACAGTTGGGATCTGTAAACTCCTGTTGGCCTATAATCTTAAGACCAGAAGCTAAAATATTGTACCTTGGTAGGTCCTGGGAAATGGTAAAAATATCAAGAGGTATGAGGATATATTTATAAAATAGGTGGCAGAAGAAAGGCCACATCAGATAATCAGAGCCACAGCCTCATGCTCTAGGTTAGTCTCCAATATCTATTGAATCTCCTTTGCATATCAGATCTCTCTGCATTTCTCCCTCTTAATGCCCTTTAGATATGGAGCCTGGAAATTCCCTCGGCTGGAAATGCTGAAACTTGAAGTTCAATATCTCTGAAGGCCTTCAAAATGGAAAAGCTGCATTTGATTTAAGTGAGTCCTTCCATAAGGTATGATATTCTAAGAATCTGCCTTATACTACATTAAACCATTGGAAGTTTTTGGTCCAACATTTTCGCCAACTGTCCTAACTTTATCTAGCATGGCTTGGATTTGGAATTACCTTCACAAAAATCACATGCTTGAGCATTGGCTCCTTCAAGCAACTGGTGTTTTGGTTCCTCCCAGTTCCAGGATTCCACGAATTAATTGGTATTCTGTACTGTATTATCTTTCAGTAAGAACATGGCAGATTAAATAATGTTTAAAAATGCTTGGTAGCCTTTGTTTGAGCCTCTAGAAATAATGTACTCACCAATCTCAAAACATTAATATATACAAAATAATGAAAGGTACAATGCACAGCAAGAAAAACCACTTCCAGAACTTCCATCTTTTGCTTAGAACTATCTAATGGATGTTTGGCATTTCCAAGCCAAATTTTCTGTCATTGAACTAGATGCCTCCTTTCTTATGTTACTCACCATAATGGTTAACAGGGTTGTATAAGGAAGACAGTTGTCTTAAATAGCCTTCTCAAGTTGAAGTTTTGCAAATATATTGTCTTATAGTTTCCATAATCACAAGAGGGCAATGATTTCAGCAATTGGATGTTTGAGAAGGAAGAGAAAATGTTTACATTACATTGAAGGTGTGAGATTCCATTTCAGTTTTTTTTTTTTTTAAAGAAAATGAGTCTCTCTCCCCACTACTCCCAATTACCGGTAAGTATCAGGAATGAAATGCAGTACTAAAGATTGAAAAGCTGTGGCATTGTGCCAGAATTGGAAAATGTCCTATTCATAAAACAGACATGCTTAATAAACATAGTTCTGCAAAAGATTGTAAGCTGTGGATCCCCCTAAATAACTTGAACAATCAAGGGCTAATGGGCCAAAAGGATGTCAAAGATGGTTTCAATTCTCACAAATATATCAATAAAGGAGAGTATTTGTAGCTCAGGATTGAAATGAGAATTTCTTGGTAACATCATCAGTACTAACTTACCTAGATAGGGTAATGAAACATCTGCAAGAAAACAAGCAAGTTCAGAGAGCACCAAGGACCCCTCACAAATATATATTTTCTGTGAGGATTGAGGATTGGTCTCAACATTTTCATAGATGGCTTTTGGATGTGTGAAAGAAAAAGAATTGCCAGAAAGAAAAATGCTTAGCTGATACAATCTACTGAAAATATTTTTTCCTAGTACAATAAAAGAACAGAACATTAGATTTAGGCTTTTTCTGCCATAACTGTGAGAATCAAAAGAAAAATCCAAGGAAGCAACTTGGGATCTTTGTCTTTTCTTGGATATTTTGTTTACTGGAATATGAAGATGGATAACAGCCTCACCCATAGTAGATTGGCAACACTCCTGGAAATAGGAGGAACTTTAAAACTGGATAATTCAAAGTGCTGAGATATACTCTGAGAATCAAATTCCTAAAATAGCAAAAATATTACTGACATACATACACAAAAACCCTCTGAAGATTTTCAAGGAAGAGCTTTCAGAAATAGTGGTGAATGAAATAGAATTAGACTTAATCTATTCAACAAAAAAGATATTTAGCAAAAATAGTTCCAGATACATTCACAAATGACCAACTGATTTTTTTTCAAGACAGAATCTTACAAATTTAAAATCTGTTACTATTTCTTGCTCAATCTGTTTTTTGTACAGAATTGGTCCTGTTTCCCTTACTCTACAGCATAAAAATATTAAGATAATATTTAATCTGCAGTGAATCTTAAGACACAGATGCACATCTAGATATTTTGGGTCTCGAAGTTAAACAAGAATTGTAAGAAGAAATAAGGTTATTAAAGTATTTCTCCAATCTTTGACTGAGAACATCTCTGCTGTTTTTACAGTTAATTCTTAGAGCAGCCTCATATCAAGCCACAAGTCAGAGATGGCAAACATGATATAACTATTTTGAGATTACAGTTTAGTCAGTTGTTTAGTACTGTTAAACATATGTCTGTCTACATAAACCATTAAATAAAAACCGTCAGTGTTTCTCTCCAAAAGAAGCCATACTTGGGAGTCTTGCCTTCATTGGGAACTCCTTGATTTTCCATACTTGCATTCTCTGTAGTAGATTTTGACAAAAAATATGATATATGAGCTTTACCTATATAGCACAGAGGATTTTCATATAGCAGGAAGCAGTGGTAGCTTTGTTGCACCAAGGTAAATGAATACCCCAGAGACAAAATTCCCTTCCTCACATCTCCCTCCAGCTGCAAAGATATTTAGTGTTTTTTGTTTGTTAAATGTGCCCTTCCAAAGTAGCAGATTCAAAGATTTGTTTCTATGGAAACTGTCAACTGCGAATAGCTTCTAAAACAATGGGTGTTTTACACTCTCTAAACTTACTAATCATTAAGTATTTAAAGGTGAGCTAAGATGGCTAAGGAGAGAAGATGTCATAGAGACAAACAATTGCTAGGCATTTTTGAACAGTGTGCTCAAAAATTTAAGATCAAGAAATCAAAGACATTGCCAATTGATAGGTTTGGCCTTGTATGCTTTTTACTTCAGATAATTCTCTATGTGGTCCCATTAAGAGCAAAATATCAAGATTGCAAAAGAAGTGCTGGATTTCTTTTTTAAACTTAACGAACCAATTTCATTGGGATATGGCAATCTTTTAAGTTCCACTCTGTAAAGATTTTATGAAACCTAGAAGCTTGCCTCAACTTTAAAGGGTCAACTAACCACAAGATTTTTTTTTCTTCAGTCACTTATTCCATTAACAGCAGTGAGAGACCTGTCCATTCCTACTTCCCTCAAGGGTCAGGTGTGGGGGAGGGGAGGCAGTTAAAAAAAAGTCCCCCAAAATCAACCTGAGGTCAAATAGTTCACCCATGGCCCTTGCTTTAATTCTCTGTTTTCTTGTTTTCATCCTTCGGTGGAGCTTCAGGGACCAAGACAACTTTCCCAACATTCTTCTTCTCTTGCATCTGCTTCATGGCATCAACCACCTGCATCAGAAGAAGGACCAGACTATTTCATTCCTTCTGCCTCAAGAAATATGACCAAGGAGAATGCATCCAAGGACATATGTCAGACTTACATTCTAAACTAGCTATACTCATTATTCTCTTTTTAATACATACTCACTATTCACTAAAGTCACACATGACATGGAGTTTGTTTTGATAGCATCTGCCTTGAAAGAGAAGCATGTACATGTGAGAGAGGGAGTGTTGATTAAATGACTCAGCCACTTATTTATTTGGTTACTCACTTTTTAAAATACTTTCTGTCATTAGAAGGCTAAATCTAAAATCAGTCGAAGGCTTTGCACAAACTTTAACACAATTTTGCCTTTTATACTTTCTTTTCGTGGTCTTTGCCCTTGAAAAGTCTGCCAGATATATTTTTTTTATGAATCTGCCTTCCCTCAAGCATTTAAAAAGCCAACCAAATGAATGTGATCTATATTCTGGACATTCCTGACACTATTATAAGAGTATGGCAGATGGCCAACAGACATTTAACATTCTGAAATGTTTGGGGGATAATTGCTAGGGTTGAAGTCTGTAATGATGTCAGTTCTTTGGAGGGGAATAAATTAAGCTAAAGGCAGCATTTTTTTTTATTGTGGAACACAAAATAACTCATTGGGTGACCAAGCATTCTCACCTGTTCAAAGGGCCAAACAGAATCCACCTTTGGTTTGATTTTGCCCTGATTGTAGAGAGCAGTTAGCTTGGTCACCACAGCAGCTAATACCTCCACTTCCTCCTCAAGGTAGCCCAGGTGGTAGCCACAAACTGCTTTGTTGAGATGAATCAGCTGCAAGGCATTGATGCTAAACTGATTCCACCAGGTCTTTGCCATAGCCATTAGGTTCTTCCTCTGCCCTGTTAGCAAGTTGGCTACACCTACAAAATTGAGAAATACCCTGATTGAGATCCATTAATATAATAACTCTGGCAGCTATGCCTCGAAAACCAAAATGGCTTTTTCTTTAAATGCAAAATACTGTGGCATAGGAGCAATTCTCATTCCAAAACTGCATTCTTCTATCATGAATGTATGGCCCTTATAATTTAGTTAATAAAGTAGTTGTAAGAAGATGAGGACATTCTAGGTTACACCGATATATGTCAGTCCAACTCAATCTACCCCTACCTTCTATATAAGCAGAGGAAAGTCTATTTCTATCTCAACAGCAGAATAATACCTTGCAAGGATGGGATTTGGGGAAAGATTTTCCTTTCCCAAAGTGCACACAAATACACACACACACTTTTTTTAAATGGTTAAGGAACTGGGTTAGAAACAAGGACACTGTGAGGTCTAGCCCCACCTTAGGCACGAAAGCCAGCAGGGTGGCCTTTGGATATTTGCTTTATAGTCCATTTCACCTCACAGGGTTGTTGTTGTGGAGCAAGCAAAAGGAGGAAGCTATGTTGAATATGTTTAGCATCTTGAGTGATTTATAAAAATAATAAAGGCAGAATAAAAAAGAATCTTAAAAGAACAAATTTCACTAAAGCATCCAGCTAACCACTATTAGAGCTTTGACTTGATCCAGAAAACCAGACCTCTTGTATCATTACTTTTTGTTTGAATTTCAGAGAATGGTTCTTGATATTGCAAGTGATCTCATTTAGTTATTCTCAAATTCCAGATCTAATTTTTGAGATTTAGGAGATTCCCCGACTCAACTTCTGATGAATTCCACCATCCTTTGATGGAATATTTTCTGACTCACCATAACTGACCAGCTTGCCCATTGGTTTCAGGAGGTGAAACCCTTTTGTGGTATCTGAACCTCCTAAGGGGTCCAAAACAACATCTACACCTAAAAAAGAAAAGGGGGGAAAGAAAACAGAAATTATTAAATGGAAAATTTCAATTGAAAGGAAATAAATTTCCCCACATGACATTTTCAGTTTAACCAGGTTTCAATAATTTTAATTTCATTTACTTTAATTTTATTGTTAAGTTTTGTTTAAAAAAATTAATCAGTCTCAAATACAAACTAATAATTTATTGAAATATATTATTCAGTCAACCATAAATCTGTAAGCAGAATGCCCATAACATACAATACAATAGCAGAGTTGGAAAAGACCTTGGAGGTCTTCTAGTCCTATCCCCTCCCTAGGCAGGGAACCCTATAACATTTCAGACAAATAGCTATCCAACATCTTCTTAAAGACTTCCAGTGTTGGGGCATTCACAACTTCTAGAGGCAAGTTTTTCGGTTCACTGACAAAAGGGCCAACGACAAAACCGCACCCGACTAAACCGCGGTGACAAAACCGCGTGTTCTAAAGCGCTCCGACGAATGAGCGCTGAATCGCGCCGACAACAGCGCGGCAACAAAAGCGTGCTGTAAAACTAAACCTAACCCTAACCCTAAATGTAATGCTAACCCTAACCCTAACCCTAAACCTAACCCTAAACCTAACCCTAAACCTAAGCCTAACCCTAAACCTAACCCTTACCTTAACTTAAATTGCCCCTCTGTCGACTGAAATCGCCCTTCTGTCTCCGCGCTGTTGTCGGCGCGCTGTTGTCGTTCGCCCTTTTGTCGTTCGCCCTTTTGTCGGGTCACGAGTTTTTCCACTAATTAATTGTTCTAACTGTCAGGAAATTTCTCCTCAGTTCTAAGTTGCTTCTCCCCTTGATTAGTTTCCACCCATTGCTTCTTGTTCTGCCCTCAGGTGCTTTGGAGAATAGTTTGACTCCCTCTTCTTTGTGGCAACCCCTGAGATATTGGAACACTGCTATCATGTCTCCTCTAGTCCTTCTTTTCATTAAACTAGACATACCCAGTTCCTGCAAGTGTTCTTCATGTTTTAGCCTCCAGTCCCCTAATCATCTTTGTTGCTCTTCTCTGCACTCTTTCTAGAGTCTCCACATCTTTTTTACATTGTGGCGACCAAAACTGAATGCTGTATTAAGTGTGGCCTTACCAAGGTATTAACACTTCATGTGATCTTGATTCTAAGAGCCGAGGTGGCGCAGTGGTTAGGGTGCAGTACTGCAGGCCACTTCAGCTGACTGTGATTTGCAGTTCAGCGGTTCAAATCTCACCGGCTCATGGTCGACTCAGCCTTCCATCCTTCCGAGGTGGGTGAAATGAGGACCCAGACTGTGGGGGCAAGTTGCTGACTCAATTTGCTAAAAAATTTGTAAACTGCTTAGAGAGGGCTGAAAGCCCTATTAAGCGGTATAGAAGTCTAATTAATAAATAAATAAATAAATAAATAAATAAATAAATAACCCTCTGTTTATGCAGCTTAGAACTGTGTTGGCTTTTTTGGCAGTTGCTGCACACTGCTAGCTCATATTTAAATGGTTGTCCACTAGGACTCCAAGATCCCTCATATACTGTACCTGTGCATTTCGTTTTTCTTACCTAAATGTAGAACCTTACTCTTTTCACCATTGAATTTCATTTTATTAGATAGTGCCCAATGTTCAAGTTTCTCAAGATCCTTCTGTATCTTAAGCCTATCTTCTGGAGTGTTGGCTATTCCTGCCAGCTTGATGTCATCTGCAAATTGGATGAGCTCCCCATTTATTCCCTCATCCAAATCATTGATGAAGACGTTGAAGAATACTGGGCCTAAAACAGAGCCTTGGGGTACTCCACTGCATACTTCCCTCCATGTAGATGCAGTTCCATTGAGGACTACACGTTGAGTGCGGTTGGTCAGCCAGTTTCGAATCTATCTGGTGGTGATGGATGTATTGACATTTTTTCATACTCTATTTTTACTATACATCTATGAATAAATCTAGAGGTGCTGCCTATGATTTCAATTTTTCACTTTTTCTTTCATTATAATAATTTCAAGAAAAAAGGGAAAAAATAATGCTGATTTAAAAGCGTATAGGAATTAAATGAAGGGAACATCAATGTAAGCATTAAAATATGGATAAAACTAAATAAAAATGGAATAACTAATTCTTATGGCTAATATATTGTAATGCACCATTAAGAGCTTAACAGTAATGTAATAAATTTTATATGCCATTTCTAGCTAAAACATATCCCTACTGAAATATAAAAATGTAAAAATATGTAACAAAACTGAAATCATGACAGGAAAAAGAAAAGCTATATGTAAACATACAATAGAAAAATGCTAAAAATAATGTGTACTACATATCAGACTACATATCAGATTGAAATATAAACTCTATAACCCAGATTTGCCACAACTCCATGAATAGAATTGTAATCCAAAAGGTTTTTCAAATAAGACTGAATTGTACCTAAGATTAGATATAAACTCATTCTAGAAATCAAAGCATATTCTCACAGTTTAGTTAATTATTCTTATACAGAGGGAACAAATCTAGTAACTCTTGGATCTTAAAGTTTGCTCCCAGTTTGATATATTTTTGTTAGTCCTGATAAAGGTATGGCCTGAGCAGATTTCGGAATGAATCCACTAATCTCCATTCTTGAAAAATTAATTTAGATTGATAGCTCTACAAAGCACCACCAACTCAAGTTATTTATTTAACCTGATTTAAAAGGTGGCCCTGATTAAGCTGGGCTGCAGTTATAATAAAAGTACATAAAATAACATTGGGGCTACCAACTTTGGAGAGCAACATTTCCCTAAAGGAGAGAAAGACAGTCTTTTTTAAGAACTTGAAGTGACTTGCTCCATCCCATCCCTTTATTCAGCCTATACTAACCTTTGGGACAAATTTTCCGGACTTCAGCCACATAATCAGCTGCCCGGTAATCAATAGGGTGAGTCACCCCATTCTCTTTGAGGGCCTCATGCTTGGAAGCAGATGCTGTGCCAAAAATGGTGATGTTTTCCATGGTTTTGCAGAGTTGGACGGCTGCAGTTCCCACACCACCTAGAGAGAGGGGAAAATGCGTCAAGTGAGTAATGAAGAAGGCCCGCAAGCCCCTCCCCCAAAATGTGGAAGTTTTCCATTCATTAAGAGTCAACATGGGTTATCCTCACTAAACTTAGATGTTTCCATGTAACTTAATCAAAGTTAAATTAATGGAAGATGTTCTCAGTAGTACCATAAAATGGGCAAAGCATGAAGACAGTGTTAACACAAGAAAAGGTATTTGATACTGTTTAATAGTCCTGACTATCTCCCCACCATAATCCCTGAGAGCTGGATAGATTGCAAGTGAGTAGAACTTTTTTGAGTAAGAACAGGCATCCAGCTGCTATTGGATCAATTCCATTTCATTTCTGACCTTTGGCCAGCAAGGTCAGTTTCTGGTGCATATTACATGTTACAAATAACATACCACATGTTACATTCTTATATAACATAAACTGAACAGATGGCTGTATTTGCACAACAAACTAAAGCAAAAAGAGGCAACTTTGGGGGCTGGTAACATACCTAGAACTTTAAAATGCCTGAGGTCCACTAATAAATAGCTGCTTATGATAGGCTTAGCCAATCATAATACATTAAGCTTAAACACTGTGGCTAGTGTTTTTCTTTGCAATATATCAGATTCCATTAAAAATAATAAGGGAAGCTTTATTTAAAAAATAGTGCAAATCAGGGGGCCTAATGTATACCAAGAAAAGGTACCAAACAGCTTATCTCTATGTCATGATTTGCTTAGTTACCGGTAACCCAATAGCCAGGTTCTCACAATATACTGAATTGTTAACTATGGTAACCACAATGGCTATGGGCTAACCACAAACTATACAACTATGTATTAGTTTTGTATCATGCAATATTATAAATCCAATGATTGTGCCTTATAATTGTTTTCTCCCATAATATTATATAGAAACAGGCCATTATGGTATGTTCAACAAGCCAAATTTAAAAGAAACTAAGCCTCAGAATGAGGTAGCAATGTTTCTGTGACCAAGGGCCATATGCCACATTCTTTGACAGTACACATATAAGAGTGATGCTAGGTATATAGAGTTTTTTAAACTATTAAATGGCTTTTGTAAAATGGATATCAGTATTTATATATGTTTCCATCTCAAAATGGGATGACTTTGCCATCTGTTTTTACCCATTAAAATCACAAAGAGAGAATGTTTAGGGGGAAATTGCTATGGGGATTCAAGATTGCCCATCCAACTTAACACCATTATGAACCCAATGTATGACTAGGGAAAAATAGTTTTCCAATCCCACTTCCCCATGAAATTTATGATGGCTGGCTTTATACAAGTACTCCTCAACTTAAACCACAACTGGGACCAGAATTTCCACTGTTAAGAATGCCCAGTGTTATGATCTTTTCTGCCATGATTGCTAAGTGAATTCCTGCAGTTGTTAAGTGGATTGTGTGGTCATTCAACTTCCCACATTGACCGGGCTTATCAGAAGCCAGCTGGGGAGGTCACAAATGAAGGTAACATAATCCAGAGGATGCTGCAACTGTCATAAATACATTCTGTATGCCAAACATCCACATTTTGATCACATGACCATGGCGATGCTGCAAGAGTCATAAGTGCAAGACATGATTGTAAGTCACAATTTTTTCAATGCCATTATAACTTCAGTCACTAAATGAATAGTTTTAAGTCAAGGACTATCTGTAGATTATGTACACTCTTGATTTTTAAACAATGTTTAGTGAATAAGCCATAAGTAGCTGATTCACAGAGCATTCTAAGTCATAAACCATAATTTAAAAACTGAATTCTCATGAATCAAAAATAAAGTTACTTTGGTAGCACAAATGTATAAATCCAATTTATATGAACTTATGCCAGATATATTTTCATAATGTGACTTGTTTCATTTGTATCTAAGATACGTTAATACCATTTTCCCCCAAAAGTAGGACAGGATCTTATTTTATTTTGACCCCCGAAATAAGCGCTTGGCTTTATTTTCTGGGAGGTCCTATTATTTTTGAGGTGCAGGAGGCAAGCGAGCATCCTCACCTCATGGCTGCTGTTGTGATGGGGAGGGCTTATTTTCAAGGGAGGGCTTATTTTAGTGCCTGCACTCAAAAGCTTGATTGGGCTTATTATCTGGGGAGGTCTTATTTTGAGGGAAACAGGGTACCTTTTATCTAAAAATCTCTCAAAAAGATGCACAAAAAATAAAATACTTGCCAATAAATGTCCCAACAGTATAATCAATTGAAAATAACAGAGGTAAAAATTTTCACCACGCAAGCACTCTGAAAGGTGGGATATACGGTACAGGTAATCCTCAATTTATGAGCACAATGGAGCTCAAAATTTATATTGCTAAGCAAGGCAGTTGTTAAATAAATTTTGCCCCATCTTATGACCTTTCTTGGCCCAGTTGTTAAATAAATCACTATAACTGTTAAGTTAGTAACACAGTTGTTAAGTGACTCTGGCTTTGATTTTGCTTGTCAGAAAATTACAAAAGATGATCACATGATCCCACGACACCACAACCATCTTAAATTAGTCAAGCATCTGAAATTTGATCACATAACCATGGAGATGCTACAACAGTCATAAGTGGGAAAAATGGTCACAAGTCACTTTTTTCAGTGCTGTTGTAACTTCAAAGGTTCACTAATCAATCTGTTGTAAGTCGAGGGTTACCTATAAACCTAACACATGAGTGTAAATACATTAGTATTGTAGAGCAGGAGAAGACTTCAAAGTCCATGTTGGAAGTGACTTTTGCCTCAAGCAGATTAGCAATACACTACAAGAACAGTAGGACAGGTTTTGTTACCTGCTGCCATGTGGACAAGGACACTCTGGCCAGGGCGCAGATTGCCAAAATCAAAGAGAACCATGTAGGCAGTGATGTAATTGACCAGAAAGGCAGCTGCTTCCTCAAAGCTCATGCCTTCCGGCATGGGAAAACTCTGATTGGCTTGGACTGTCACAATTTCTTGCCAGAGACCTGACCGGGCCATAATCATCACCTTATCACCAACCTAGCAAAAAAAAAAAAAAGATCATTGTGAAAACTAGGACACTCAACACAAATTCAGGATTATGAAAGGCTAAATTTGAAAATAGATCTCAAGCTACCCACTGCAGAGTTCCAGGCAACTTTTATAAATGCAAAGCTTGTCCCATGTCTTTTATACCCTTACGGTGAGACCTCCATGAACAGGATGCCATCCCATTTACAAGTCAGTGCAAGAATCTGCTTCATGTTAGGCATATGCTTGAACACTAGATGGCAAACTTTAGAATAATCCTTGGCTAGCTCTATACTAAATATTAAGAAAAAGCATATATAAGGATCATGTGAGTAACTTTGACCTGAGGTTTCTCACTGGAATCTTTTTCAAAAAGGCTTTAATTCAAGAAATCCACCTTTTCTCTTGAAAACTCTTTGAATATTTGGTTGACTCCTTGAACATTTTCTCAAGAGAAGCAACTGTCCGCTCTTGGGTGATGTATAATATAAAGAGGCATCCTAAAATTAGCTGATCATTCTTCCATTAAAAGGTCCTGCTGTATTTTAAACTAGAACCATGTGATCAGCTAATAATATATATTTGAAAACAAGTCTGCAAGTTTTAACTAGATAGATTTAAAATAGTGCTTCTCAACATTGACAACTTAAAAGATATGTGGACACAACTCCCAGAGTTTCCCAGCTTAAAACCAATCAAGCATCTAGCTTGAATGCTAGCATGGACAAGTTCTTTGCTTCTTGCTCATGCTACCTTACAATGGCAGGGTGCAAGGGTTTCTGGAGGTGACCGTGCAAACAATACATCTTTCTGGCAACATTTCCAGATTTCCGCCAGCTCACCATTGGAAAAAAACACCACCGTTTCCTCTGCAGAGAGGAAATCCTGTGTTTATTTGGCTCTGGTATCTGGAAAAAGTGTGATGCTGAGGCCCTTCACCTTCTCATGAACTGCTGTCTTCAAATAGCAAATTTCACCCTTGACCAAATAAATAAAAGTTGGACTCCAGAGCTACATATATTCTGTTTAGTATATAGCTATGTAAATTTATGAAAGTTATAGTGTTTGGAGTTTGTCAGAATTTATTGATGTAAGGCTGCATTTCATAAACCCGCTGTCAACGCTCGAGAGGTTTACTGCAATGCACTCTGCATTGGACTGCTGTTTGAGCATTTGGAAGAAACAAGCTCAGTATCAGTGCACCCATGTGACATCTCTACTTCAAGAGCTGTGTTAGTTACCAGGAGCAGCTCCATGTGCTGGTTCTGCTAGTTTTTCAATGAAGGTGAAGATTTGAGAAGTTGGTTTTCAAGGTATCAGAGTATTATAACTCCCTCAATTTCTCTCTACATCAGTCAGGAGTTGTAATTCAACATTTGAAGAGCTGCAGACTTCCCACCCTTAGTTAGAATATTATCTTGTTTCCAACTGGGTGTGGAAAAAAGTGGTTGGGCCTGCTTCAGTCATATATGTCAATGTCCCTCCAGATAATTAGAATTACAATTTCCAGAATTTCCAACTGGAAGGCAGCAATAAGAACTATTACTACAAATATAGTTTTTTCTCAACCTACTGTACAGAGCACTGCCAAAATAGAAAGAAAACACAGTTCAAATGATAGCATTATTGCTGAAATGATGAGCATTATTTAAAAGCCTATTTTTTAAGAACTTTGTGAATTTGATTTATTAAACACAGCAAAGGCAAGGCATTAGGAAAAACAGCACTCAATCTTCATTCAGTTGTATTTCCTTCTGGTTAATGGGGCACTTTTCTACAGATATTTATTGCTGAAGTATGCAGAACAATACCAATATTTCTTTTCCTGTTCGTTGATTTCTTTTTAAAGAATTTAAAAAGATTTTCTGCATTCATTTGTTCAAAACATTATTTACATGATGTTTTTCCCAGGAAGAATACAACTTGTGAAAAGTATTTCCTACTACATAAACATACCTAGTATCTCCTTTATTATTTTTAATTTTAATGTAATTATTTGGGAAGCAATATTTGAATTATCTCCTGTAAATCTATGGCTTTTTTCTCTTAACAATTTGCTACTTTACTTACAAACTTGTAAGCCTATAACTTTAAAAGACTTACAAGCAGGGGCGAAATCAACTTACCTTCACTACTGGTTTGCAAATGTGAGTGCGTATGCACTCACTTTGCTCACTCGTGCCACTCCCGTACATTCGCAGGACATTCCGCACATGTGCAGAGTGTCAAAAATGGGACGTGATGACGTCCAGGTGGGTGGGTGGGGCCTCCTGCCACCACTACCGGTTCACTTGGATAGAACCGGCTGCATTTCACCACCGCTTACAAGCCATAAAAGCAGATTCAAAAAATGGATTTAGTATGTCTTGAAAGAATTTATCTCTCTATGAATTCTCAGATACACTACATTTCTTTCAAAACATTTCCAAATTAACTTTAATATAATAAAACAATATCAATTTCTGGGACTGGTCTTGATAGCTAGATTTATGCAGAAAGGAAGAATCAGTAGTTCTATAAAAACATATTGCTGAAAAAAATATCAAAATTCAGGGCCAAGGACTAATTAAGATAAGAGAGAAATGGAAAATCAAGGGATGGGGAATGAAACAGTGATTGGAAATTTGAACAAGCTATTTCTATAATGCAATATTTTATTGCAAGGCCTACTTGCAATGTGATTAGTGACTGCAAGCACAGAGAAGACAATAAAACATACACCAGAATGAATCTGTCTATTCTACTTCCACTGAAGACCAGATTAAGACAATGCCCTACCCTTTAAAAAGTAAGCGGCAGAAATAATTACTAAATGCCAAGGAACTTTGTCTGAGATCTGCTACCTGTTTTCCCAGCATGATGCCAATTTGCCAGACTAATCTTACTGCATTTTTCGACAAAGTGACAAAATTAGTGGACCAGAGGAATGCCGTTGATATAATTTACTTGGACTTCAGCAAGGCATTTGATAAAGTAGACCATAAGGTACTACTAGATAATGTAGAAGAATGTGGGTTGGACAGCATCACCACCAGATGGATTCGTAACTGGCTTACCAACCGCACTCAACATGTAGTCCTCAATGGAACTGCATCTACATGGAGGGAAATATGCAGTGGAGTACCCCAAGGCTCTGTTTTAGGCCTAGTACTTTTCAACGTCTTCATCAATGATTTGGATGAGGGAATAAATGGGGAACTCATCCAATTTGCAGATGACACCAAGAAGGCAGGAAGAGCCAACACTCCAGAAGAGAGGCTTAAGATACAGAAGGATCTTGACAAACTTGAACATTGGGCACTATCTAACAAAATGAAATTCAATGGTAAAAAGAGTAAGGTTCTACATTTAGGCAAGAAAAACAAAATGCACAGGTAGTATAGGTGGTACCCTGCTCAATAGTAGTAACTGTGAGAGGGATCTTGGAATCCTAGTGGACAACCATTTAAATATGAGCCAGCAGTGTGCAGCAGCTGCCAAAAAAGCCAACACAGTTCTAGGCTGTATAAACAGAGGGATAAAATCAAGATCACGTGAAGTGTTAATACTACTTTATAATGCCTTGGAAGGCCACACAGCATTCAGTTTTGGTCGCCACAATGTAAAAAAGATGTGGAGACTCTAGAAAGAGTGCAGAGAAAAGAAACAAAGATGATTAGGGGACTGGAGGCTAAAGCATATGAGGAACAGTTGCAGGAACTGGGCATGTCTAGTTTAATGAAAAGAAGGAGTAGGGTCGACATGATAGCAGTGTTCCAATATCTCAGGGGCTGCCACAAAGAAGAGGGAGTCAAACTATTCTCCAAAGCACCTGAGGGCAGAACAAGAAGCAATGGGTGGAAACTAATCAATGAGAGAAGCAACTTAGAACTGAGGAGAAATTTATTAATATTCCAGGCATTCTAACAAAGACTTGCCTTCCTGTGAGAATACAACACATGTATTACAACTGGATTGAATTTCAGTTGCTATTGCATATATCTAGATGAGGATTTCATTGTGCAATTGCCCTTGCCTCAATCACATTTTATAGGTGGTCTAGACAACATGGCCTTATGCTTATTACTTTTTTACATGTGACCATCATTTTTTTCACCTTTCTCCTAACTACAGAAAAACAATTTAGGATCTCTAACATTGCCATGTAAAATTCATTTCAAGAAGCCAGAGACTGTTAGTGCTAGGAGACCTTCATCCTAAAGCATAATTTTAGATACATTCTTACAATATGCTAAACAAGTTTATGGCTTGCCTTGACATTTCAGCTAAATGTGAAAGATACTTATTAAAGTGTAGAGCCTTCTGAAATCTTAATTTCTTTTAGCCATGATACTGCCTGCATGTCACAGCTACAGCAAATAACCGAGTAATTACTTCTCCTTCTGGTCTCTAGGAATAAAGCAGAAATAGTGATAAATATTTACTAGTGTTTACTTATCCGGATTCTTTGTCACTTTTTCTTTGGGGTAAGTATTGTCTATTTGGAAAATAAGATGCTCATAAAAGAATTAGCCTTTCCTTGTGGATAGTGGCTCCCATATGAATCAGACCATAAACAAGTGTATTTTTGCTCCATAAACAGAAAAGTTAATTGAAAATAAGATCTGTCGAGGCTACTGCAAATGTCACCTGGAAAGGGATGATTTGCACATACACTGATGGCCATGTTTTGCTGTGGCATTTGGGCTATATAACCTGCCTGCAAACATCAAGCTAGAAAAGAGCCAACTAATATAGGGATGTGTGCAAATACAATTGGTGTGATTAGCTTATGGTTCGGTGCATTGTGCAAGTCCATAAAACTTGGCTAATTGGGAAAACAATGATTAACCATTGTTAGCATTAGCTTCTTCTGCATCTGCAGGCTGTGGCAAAGTACATTAATCATTGTTAACACTAAATGTAGTTTAGCATTTCTTTCCACAGCTCATAACAACAAATACATTTATTTAATTCTCAAAAGGCTTTGCTACATTAAAATTACACATACTGATACAAAGATGCTTTTA